ATAAACATATGTATGTATGTATGTATGTATGTATGTATGTATGTATGCATGTATATATATATACATATATAGCTTCCTTCTGAGCTCAAGGCCGAGTTGGCTTTCCTCATTCCAGTAGTTGCCTGCTCGGAGCTTCTGACCTCAAGAGTAGTGGTAGTTCTTAGCGCACCATCGCAGCCAAGGTTTCTGTTGCAACAACGGCTGCCTCGATGCCAAAAGATCTAGTAGGGTTTAGGTTTTAGGGTTTAGGGTTTAGGGTTTAGGGTTTAGGTAGGTTTCAAGGCCAAAAGATCTACTAGCAGTACGTTTCGGCTGCATTGGGGCACACCCCTTCTCCTCCCACGTGGCACCTACTGTAGTCGGACTTGCCCTGGCCTTCCTGCGCAATATACTTTTTGCTCTCCTCTTTGCAGAAGGAAAGTGCCCTCTCAGAACCATCCTCATCTGGGTTGCTCATTGGAAGCTTTCTCAACTGATCCACTTTCCGTCCCGGCGCTTGCCAGCGTCATCTCCAAACATCTCTTACGCACTATAAAGTACACACGAGCATGCGGTGGAGAGGCATCTTTCACAAAGAGCCACTTTCCGGGATTTGGGATTTAGGGTTTCGTACATGACTATGTTGCTCGTCACAGACTTGACGATGAGGGCAATGTGCCGAAAGATCTCAGGTGTCGGCCAAACGGGCCCAACAGCAAGCTCCCTGCCTGCAACAATGGGTGCCCTTTGGTGCAAACGTCACGAGAATCTGCGAATCCAAAGGCATGAGCCGAGCTTCCGGGAGCTTTTCCGGGGACTTATGACTCTTCCGGTTGCGGGCCGATGCCAACACCAGCCACACGAAAGCTTAAACTTGAACCCCAGCCCTTCACACCCTCTTCTAAGCGTGTCCATCACGGCTCCGATTCAATGGGCAACCTCACTCAAGATGCACCACGGCAACAAGTGCAGGGGTCCTGGCCTCTGCAGCCATGTCCTGAAGTCAAGGTGTCAAAGCCTCCACACTAAGACATTTCATGCTTGTAGCCGTAGCACCTGCAGTCTGATCTGCGATGGCAGGACGTCGTCACGCAGCTTTGCCGGGGCCAGCTTCGCATCACCGGAGGCCTGAGTGTCCAGTGAAGCCCTCCCCACACTTCCTGGCTATAAAACCAGGGCGGCCTGCGAGTGGCACATGCACACCAGGACCAGACAAAGCCTCGTAGCGGCAATTCGCATGTCTCGCGCGGTATCGATGCGACAGGGAATCCAAGAGAAAGGCTTGATGCTCACATCGTTGTGCTCCTGCGTCTTCGATCTGCTCTCAAGCTGCGAGGCCCAGAAACGGAAGCCAAGATGGTTCTTCGAAGTGCTCTATCGCCCCAGGCTCCTCCCTCAAGACCAGGTCCAGGTCAGACACCGTGAAGCCCTGGCAAAGCCGTGGGATGTTCCCTGATTTCTCCCAACTGTGTGGCGTTTGACTCCAGGACTCCCCCACCTGGCCGATTGGAGCATGTTGGCTTGTGACCTGACATAGACTAAATTCTACACCCCTAAACCCCTAAACCCTAAACCCTATGCACCTGCGATGTGCAAAAGATGCAATAGGTGTCCGGCCACGTGCGGCAGCAAGGAGAGGACCTGCTCCGCCTCCTCCACCGTCGCTTGAAACGTTGTGAAATAGGCCAGCAGAGTTTCCACCTGAGGACGCTAGCAAGCCTGTCATACGGCTCATGATATAAATCCTGCGTTACCCCCATAAGAAGGTATACACCATAATCCCCATAACGGAATGCCAGGATTTATATCATCAACACTACTTTCGCGGATTCGGAAGCTTGTCGGAGCAATCAGGACCAGACCAGGAGCTGGATCATCGTGCCGGCATGGACGAGGAAGACCTGGTCCTCAGCTCCCCAGTGCGGAATCTCAGGGCCAGGGTTTAGGGGTTTAGGGTTTAGGGTTTAGGGTTTAGGGTTTAGGGTTTAGGGTTTAGGGTTTAGGCGACTAGCGACTAGCTATCCAGCAGGGACGTCTGAAATGCGCATGACGGTACCTTTATATATTATAGCAATTGTAGTATCCCTTATACAAGCCCTTGCCCTAACCCTTCTAGTCACAACAGCTCTTATAGTAGCCCTTGTAGAAAGCCTCAGAGTAGCCCTAATAGTAGCAGCAGCCCTTGTAGTAGCCCTTTCTAGCTGCAATGATCAGGCAAGCCTTGTACCCTAAACCCTAAACCCTAAACCCTAAACTGTAATAACCGCCTGAGCAGGGCACTCCAGCTCGCTCACCCGTCAAATCGCGCAGGAGCAAGCCCAGTGCTTCAAAAAGCGATGCAATGCAGCGCCGGCCTAGCAAAGTTTCGGGCTGATAGGGCTTATAGTGGCTTATAGCAGCTGCAAGGTTTGTAGAGTTGATACCGCCCATAGGGTTTACAGGGTCATGGGGTTTAGGGTCTATGGGCTTCTGGTCCAATATGCGCGAACAAGCTTCTGAGAAATGCAAATAATTTCACAAGGTAATGCTACCTGGCTTTCTTCGCTTCTTTCTTTATTCTTTTCTCTTTGAGGGTCCAGGGAACAGGGCACAACGCTATACTGCCTGCTGCCCCACCCCCACAACAACAATCTCATGCGCTCCCTTCGTCACCTGAGACCAGATCATGTGGCGAGGAGTGGTTGGAAGACTGCCAACTTCAACACAACAGCAAGCCAACCCATGCAGCAAAATCTCTCTTTCTATGCAACAGCATGCAAACACGACGAAAGAAAAGTCGCACCTTACACCACGACTGGACTGCCGTCGCAGTAGGACTGTCTGACCGGCAGGTGTGCCAAAGAAAATGACTCCAGAATCTGTGTGGCAACACTCGAAATACCTGGACCTGGCCTCATACTCCTCAGCTGCATGGCATCGCATAACCCTGCATAACCCTCTTCATGCCTCCTAGAAGGCCGAAGAATGCCAGGCTGGACTTCCGCGGCGGGTTCTGGGCCTTCGGTGCTCAACAGGCTGCTCGCTTCAGAGTTCTTCAAGTCTTCGGCTCGCGGCCAGGCCCTGGCCCATGTCGTGAAGGCAGAGGGCCTGCTGGGCCGCACTAGCCGGCGGCACTGCACCTGGCGCCACTCGCCAGACCTGGAAGTGGCACTCCCGGTAGAAGATGGCAGCACATTTCCTCGGCACCTGCATCAGGACCGAAGATGGCATCTCTCAAAGCCGAAACAAAAAAGACATGGCCTCTTGCAGGGCCACGCCGAGAGACAAAGCACGCTCCACCAGCCTGAATTCCACTGCTCCGGTGTGTCTGCCCTACTTGATATGGCCGGGCAGAGAAAACTTGGACCCAGGCGTGCAACAGTCACTCTGGTGCAAGCGCAGCACGCGACTAACCTCGATGCGAGTTGTTGCAGTGTCTTCCGCGAGGGGACAGCATTGCGAAACAGCTCCGCCTCGTCAACCAGCTTCACCAAGTGTTCTGTTGCCAGCCTCGGCCTGCAAAGAGGCAGCAAACGACAAACAACGAGGATCAGCAACAGCTGCGCGCAACTGGCCTCTCCGCCATGATACTGCGAGCCAAGCTCGGTAGGTCCATCGTATCCTGCCCAGAGCAGATGGAACTCGTATCAAGCAAGCGTTCTGACATGTCAGCTGCCTCGCGGCTCCGAAACGTGAAAGGCTTGGACAATGCCTGATTCGACAAATCCCGTGTGCTGCACAGACGGGAGTTGGCAGGGCGTGCCGGCTTTTCTGTGACACATGGGCAAAGCCGGGCGCACCTCCTTGCATTGCCGGAGCTCTGCGAAAGCCTCTGCACCACCAGGGGCAATAACTCCGAGCATCTGAAGCTGTCAACGAGATCAACGTCGCCGACCAGTGGTTCTTGCCTCGGCCTCCGAAGAATCATTTCCGCTTGCGAGCTGCGCGACGACCCTGTGCAAGTCCTGAGTCATAGCGATCAAACAGAAGACGAACCGTACCAGCAATCATAACGATAAGAATGATGACGCTGTCAAAAGCCGTGGATAGCCGTGGCCTCGAAGGTTTCAGCTTGAAAAGCTGCCATGGCTAACACTGCGGAGGCGCATGGCTCCTCTTGCTTCCGTCTTAGATCTCTATGCTCACACTCCAGACTTGGGGTTGGGAGTTGAGGGTGTGTATAGGGTTTAGGCTAGGCATGGTAGGCTCGATTAGTCATTCCAAGTGCTGGTCTAAGTCTGTGCGTGTTCGCTGGCTTAGGCTGTTTTGCAGGGCAATCTGCTCTCGAGAGACCTTGCATGATCTGCCCCTCGAACGCTGGATCCAAACCGACCCACAGCATAAGCTGGCAAGAGGTGCTAAGTACCCTCCAGGCTCTCGCTCAGCTTTAGTGGGAAAACCACAGGTCAAGCTTTGCCGCTTTTGATTTCGTTAACGCTGGCCGGTCATGTCCCGGCTCTCCAAGCGCTAAGCTTGGACGCTGAGCCGATCCTCACCTCCAGTCTCTCCCGATGCAAAGGGTCGCCAGGGTCGCTCTTCCAAGCTCTCCGAGAACCGAGGGTCACGCAACAAACGCTTGTTGCGCCTGCAGGGACAACGGCTCAGTCCTGAGCCCGGCCGAGCTGGTGAAAAGGGCCTTGTCTTTGCAATTCGAGGATCTTGACTTCAGCATTCTTCGGCCCACATGGACATCTCCTGCACTCGTTTAGATCTCTACCTGCTTCCATGGACAAAGAGCTCAATGTGCCTCGCATCCAAGTCCTTCAGATCCAGCACCTGCACTGCAGGAGCCATGAGCCAAGTGCTTCCACCGAGTGTCATGTAGGGGCCTTAACAACCAGAATAGGGTTTTGGGGTGAATCATACTATACCTATACTAGGGAAACCCCAAAATGTTAGAGGTAATTATTGAGGCCCCTATATCAGCAAAAAGCATCCGAAGTTGAAATCGAGTTCGGCACCCGAGTTCTCGGCTTCGCTCTTGCCCGGCCCGTCCTGCTCTCCAAAACCAGCTCATGGTTGGGATAGTATTATAAGAATCTAAACCTCTATTCCTTATTGAGTTTAAATACCGATGAAAAACTGTAAAATGTTACCCGATACCACCCTAAACCCTAAACTATTAAAACCCCCACCTATTAAAAGCCCTAAACTATTTAAAAAAAGAAGTGAACGACGTCTCTTCAGCGAGGCATAGTTCCTGCTCCGGCTGCTCCGCTTGCGCTTCCGTGGGCTCGCTTGCTTCAGCTTTCTCCTTCGCCTCCTCTTTGGGGCTTACTTGGAGGTTCCTTTAAGGCATCTTCTGAGTGTTAGGGTTTAGGGTTTAGGGTATAGGGTTTAGGACTTACTTGGAGGTTCATGGGTAGTTCTAAGTAGGGTTATAAGTAGGGTAACTATAGCTATAACCCATATTGGGGGACTTATAACCCCACTTATAAGTAGCCATGAACCTCCAAGTAGGGTTCATGGAAACTGTTTAAGGGGTCGGTTCGGGAGCTTTGTCGGGTTTTGTGCGGGTTTTGCCTTTGGCTTTTGTGCCCGACAGTTTGGTGATTAAGCTATAGCATGAGCTGGGCTCGGCTTGGGCTGGGATTGCAAAGAAATTCTGCTTGTTGCTTGGCTGGGCTGGTACTGGGCGGCCTTGATTGGGGTGGCTGCAAACAGTTTCTATGTACCACTTGCTTGAAGGTTTTTAGGGTCTTAGGAACCCTAAACCCCTAAAAACTCCCCGGCCTCTCCGTTGTCATCTTCAGCTTCAGCTCGCTCAGCTTGCTCAGCTTGCTCCAGCTCCGGCTCCAGCTCCGGCTCCAGCTCGTTCGGCGGAGCCTCGCCTTCCTCCGGCTCCGCCCCGTAGGCGTCCGCCGTAACTTCCGAGTTTCGTGGCGCTCCATCCTCCCCGGGCCCCTCGAACTCTTCCTCGTCGCCATCATCCTGCGCAGCCGCGGGCCTCACGACCTTGACTGCAAGTCTGCAGGTTCACTCATGAGGTGACACACCTGACAACCTGCCCTTCGGAAAGATCTGCGCAGGAATAACTTGGGCCACAGCCGCCGCACGCGTTGGCCTGAAGCCAGGGCTGCTAGAAAACTGCCAGCCACCAAACCCTCCTTTGTTGCGGCGGCGCGGCTTCTGGGACTCCGTGGCTTCTGCCTTGCCAGCCAGAGCCTCCAGCGCGTCTCGCCCAGAAAAGCGAGCTATGATCTACTTGGAGGACCATGGGACTTAGTAAGTAAGGTTATAAGTCCCCTAATTGGGGTTAAAAGTATAGCTACCTTAGTTATAACCCTACTTACTAGTTAAGTCCCATGATCCTTTAAGTATGCAGAGACGGAAGAGGAAGAAAGGGGAAGCCTGGCCTGCTCTTTGACAGCTATTGCTCTTGCATTCCCAAACTGGGCATCGGCACCCTGCACTAAGATGAGATCATGAAACCGATCGGGAGCTAACATTTCATTTCACAATGCCTTTCGCTTTGCTCCATCTGCTCCTCCAAGCTCGCCACTACGACGCTTCGCTCGTGAACGAAAAACCTACTCGCGTCCTCGCTTCCTTTTTGCAGCTGTGCCAGCTTTAGCGGCTTTTGCATTCTCCACCAGCTTCAACTTCGCACCTGTGAGTTTGAAGGCAGGCCTTTCAGGGCCACCTCGACAACGAGGAGCGACCGCCGGCCTCCCGCAGCCAAGTCCTCCGCATCTAGACTGGGGGCGACTATCGCGGTTAAAGAACGAACCTTGGACATGTTCACTTCAAGGGCAGTCCCCGCTGTTTCCCGCAGCCGCAGCGGCGGCTTCTGCACGCTCGCGGCGCTGACAGGGTAATGTGCTTCGTCGGGCCATACGATGGGCGCTAGCAAGTTCCACCTTCTTCTCTTTGGCCGCAGCATGCTTCCTGTCCCAGGCGTTGTGCGCCTGCAAATGACACAATGGCATAGACGTGCATAAACTGTTGGACTGTGAGGCATATATCTAACACACACACACACAATAACTTGGCGTTTGTGGACTGTGTACGATTGTCGGCCATCCGGCCATGTTTGGGCCTTCTCGAAAGCTTCTCCCATCCGAACCATTGCGTCCGTGATCCAGTCTCTGTCAGCCTCGGAACAGCAAAGCTCAGCGCCGTCTTAGGAAGTTTAGGGTTTAGGCTGTAGACCTTCACAGACACGTTGACCCTCTCCATGAGATCTCTTGCACCTTACAGCTCATGAACACACAGGGGATCACAAGTGCAAAGGAGACGCAAGCCGTCCTGCCTTCCTTTGCACCTCGAGGCGTGCAGCTTGGGGTCCACATGAACTCATAGGCCATCACCTTTGTTATTGCGAGCGCTCCCGAACCGGTCCCGGGTCCCCAGCTGACTGACGAAGACTTTCTGGGGTGCTCGCCCGCAAGATGCTCAAAACCATGGGGCTCTTGGCTGTCACCATCTTTAGCTCGTCCCCTGGGTTCATGAAGCCTGAGGGTCTCAGCCACTCGCTCCCCAAACTCAGACAACCGAAGATGCTAGGCTGCTGACGTAGCAGGCGGTCAATGTCCCACAACGTCCGGAGGATTCCCCTGCATGGAGTGCGAGCGCTGCTGATAGGATTTTCTTTCCCGGGCGTTCTACAACTGCTGCAGGGGTCAGACGGCAGAGGGCCGAGTTTAGGGTTCAGGGGTTTAGGGTTCATGAACTCTTTTTACAGAAGTTTCTGCTGATTTTGGACCCAGAATGGACTTGTTTAGGGTTCAAGGTTTGGGGTTTCTAGATTTCTTGTTACAAAGTTTTTTGCTTATTTTGGATGCGGGGCAGGGCAGGGCAGGGCGCAGGGTGGGGTAGGGCAGGGCACACACACATAGGATCGTCCGGGAGCCGGGACAGAAGCACATGTCCATGTCAACAGGGAACCATTGGACATCAGCAGGTTGCTGGAAGGCATGTGGTACTTGAGGCAACACAAGACCGTGAAGCGAAGGAATTCATCCAGAAAGTTTCTCTGCAGCAGACAGTATGCTGGGTGGCGTGCGTTGGCCGAAACAGACGGGTAGGCTGTGCGAGTCGCACAGGCAGCAGCTGTATGAGTGGAAACAGAAGCAGGAGCATCATGAGCGGCAGTCGCGCACGGCACCACTCCCCACAACATCGCATGTATGGAAGCCTCAGAAAAAAGGAAGATCTGACATACGTTCCAAATATTTCCAAATACATGAAGGATCTCTGGAAGGAATTCCTAAATATCTCTCGTACTCTCTGAATCCTCAAAGTCTTTGAGACAGAAAGCACTTGAAACTGGCCGGTGCGGAATCCAGAAGGGCAGTGCGCCTCTTGAAACATTACCCTAAAGCCAAATCCACGGAAAATATCCCCGAGCCATAGCTAAACCCTAAGACGATCCTGAACCTCCGAAATCGTCAACCCTAAATCACCTGGAATCCTTACGCTTGTGCTGACGATGGCAATCATTTTGGGGTATGGGGCTGCTAGAAGGGATCGTGTTTAAAGCTGCTTTAGGAGTTAGCAAGTTTAGGCGTAAATGGGATAAGCCTCATAGAAACGCCGTGCCTGAGAAAGATCTCCGAGGTCAGGCGCGGAGTGATCCGATGCTTGACTTTGGCATCGTACTGCAGCAGGGCTTTCAACTGATTACAGCAAGGTGCTTCACGCGTAGTGGCCTAGAACCCCTAAACCCAAACAGCCCTAAACCCCAAACCCCGATCAAAGCTCTAGATAGCTCGCTGATAAAAACCCTTAAGCCTAAGGCCTAAAAACCGTCCAAGACGCTAAACCCCAAGAGCCCGTACACTGGCCCAACACTGAAAAGGCCTCCAGGAACTTTGAGAGAAACTCTTCCATGTCAGCTGCCGAAATGGTCTTTTGGTCATCCCAGCTGAGCAGCAGATTTACCGCCAGTGTCCAGTCCTGACCGGAACTCGCCCGGGACCAGGAACTTCATGATGTTACAGTCCCAAACCCCCAAAAGGATCTAAAAAACAGATCCCCTAAGGGGGTTCCTACAAAGTACCCTTTAGTAGTTAGGGTCCCTAATTAGGGGATCTATTTTTTAGATCCTTTTGGGGGTCTGGGGTAATCATCAATGTTGAGAATGATTCATGGTACCCTTGATGTCAAACGATCATCTTGACTAACGATGGTACCCGCGATGTCATGAAGGAGAACCACGGGCTCATTGCCTCCAACCGACTCTTATCCTTCTTGGCTCGCTCCGGATCTCGGTGCCACTCATCATTCTCCTTATTGGCAACTCTTCGGTCTTGAGAGCAGCGGCACGAAAGTGTTCAAGCTCCAAGCTCTGTCAAAAGGACGCCGCTGGCCGTCGGGATATCTGCGACGACCTGCGAACCTTGGACCACCAGGCGATCGAAGGCGAAACGCACTGAGAAGCCCTTGGATCGCCGCTCGTCCTCATGGCGCTTCGCGCCAGCTGCACGTGTTTGGGCGCTCATTGGCGTGCACTCACTTCAGGCAGTGCGGAGGACTACTACAACCGCCCCACCTGCTGGAGTCAGCCTGGCAGGGCCACAACACGGACGCTGATACACAGCAGAAGCGGAACTAGCGACTGAAGGGATGGCAGTGGCACGATGAAGGAACTAGGCTTGCGAGGCTCGCCGCTCCGGCCTCAGGCCGGCGCCACCCCTGTGAGGACGTCCGCCCCAGCCTGTGTATCATCACGAAATAATCAGCAAGCAACTCCGTGGCAAACGCGGCCTCCATCACCATCTGCCTGCATCCTGCGCAAGATGCGATACAAGACCGTACCCTAGACCCTGAACCCGAAACCCTCTGAACCCTAAACCGCTACACGGCACAGAGTGCTTCCAAACTTAGCGCCCCACGCTCGCCGGCGAGGCAGAGCACCGCGAAGCTCGGTCATGCGACCCGAGCCTGGCGGCCTACCTCTCGGACCTGCCAAGACTTCCAAAGAATACGAAGGGGCCGGGGGCTCATAGGGATTAAGGCCCAAGCCTGCCAGATGGCACAAATATGCACAGATTGGGGTTTAGGGTTTAGGTTTTCGGGTTTAGGGAGTTTAGGGTTTAGGGCTAGAGTCGGAAACTCCCCACCTCCTCGGGGTCCTCTCGCATCGAGACTGCGACCTCCAGCGGGTCCCGGTCCCGAAAAGACTGCGACAAAAACCCGAAGACTGCGGGTTCCAGGCTGGTGCTGCGCCGACGCGTGCTTCCGGGAATGATCACCCTGCGCTGAGGACCTCGAGTAGAGCTGAGGAGTTCAGAGTTTAGGGTTTAGAGTTTAGGGTTTAGGGCAAAGCTATTGATGCTGCAAGCTGGCACCTTCTCGGCTCCTGCTTCGTCTTCCACCGCCACCGCCGCCGCCACCGCCATCGCGGTCTCTCTCGAGCAACCTGCTCTGATCGCGCAGAGACGCAGATTCTGTTTCGTAGATGTCAGAACCCTACCATCTATTTTAGTGTTGAAATGAGGGTACCCGGTTTTCTGAAACTCCCATGACTTTCGGCCCTAAAAACCCTCAACCCTCCTCGCTAAACCCTAAACCCTCTACCCCAAAACCCTAAACCCTGAAGCCCTAAACACCGAAACCCTCTGCCCGGCATCCTAACCTAAACACGAAAGCTCTCACCCTCAAGCCCCTAAACCCTCCTCGACAGCGGTCGGCGAAGCTGCCCGGCATCTCCGCGACGATCGGGCGAGCGACTATCGGCGCCCCGCCCAACTGGGCCGACCTGAAAGGAAACCCCTAAGTCCAACTAGGCGATGTTGGGCTTAGGGGGTTTAGGGCTTTGGGGGTTTCTGGGTTTAGGGGTTTAGGGGTAGTTTAGGGGTTTGGGGGTTTGGGGGTTTAGGGGTTCACGGCTTAGGGG